AGAGAATTCTTTAAAAAACATTAAAAATCTTGCAGTTCAAAAACTTTTGACTGGTATGTTAGCCTATAGTTTGAAGTAAAAAATATTAATATTAATAAGGAGAGTCTGCGATTTATTTGACAGTGATTTCACATTTCTTGTTTGTATGAAGGCTGAATACCAATAAAAGGTGAACATTTATTTATTTGCGCCAATTTTTTCCTAAAATATTATATAGTTTTACAGGAGTAGGTTTCATAGAGTTGGCAAATTAATTTTTCATAAGTTTGTAGGTACAGACATCTGTTGTGGCAGTTCTTGGCCGTTTTTATGAGGCTTTTTAATAGTGTTCATATCGATATCGAAATTATATCGTATCGACCGAAATTAAGAAATATATCGTGATATAAATTTTGGCCATATCGTCCAGCCCTAACAGAAGAAAGAAACTCATACTCATACTCAAGTGGAGGGTGAGTAAATGATGACAGAGTTTTCATTCTAGAAGTGAAATACTCCTTTAATAGAGATGCTCCTATACTCACCGATTCTCAAGACCTGCTGCGCGCTGAGACTGACCTCTGCCATCAGACACAGCAGGATGAAGCTCACACCTGTCCCCTTCAGCATGCTGCACCTGCAGGAGGAACATTCAACATCCATCTCCTTCTTCTTTCTGTATCCATACAGGAATAATTTCCATCCGAGCAGCATCTTTCCACTCACTCGTACTGGTGGGAGTCACCCATCCTCACATCCATAGGTGCTAACTGGGCATCACTTTCCAGAATAAGTCACCGTGAATGAGCATCCCTCCCGCGGTGCTCCCAGGACATAACGGCACCGAGAGACCGAGAGCGCACGGGCTCAGCTGTGCGCAAACATGGGTCCGTTGTGAAGATTAACTTCAAATCTGGCAGCAGTCGACCCCGACAACGTCTTTGCTCTTTGGTACACCGAGGAAATAATTAAATCGTGTGCCGGAGCTCTGATAGAAACGCACATCTGCCAGCGGATTAAATACCCGTTTATCCCTCACTCACTGTCTGTGATTTCACCAAACTGGAAGACACCTTACTCAACAGCGGTTTGACCTACTTTTAATAAAAAATCATTCTTATTATATTTTAAAAAGTCAAAGAAAACGTGCAGGTCGGGAGAGAAGTGCGCGGAGGCATCTGTGAGAAGTTTGTGTGTGAAGCAATGGTGGAGATTTGATTCATTCCAATGAATCGAATCTTATAAACAAGTTCTCTTAAAAAAATGATTCGATCAGATTCGCCAGCGGCAGGGTTTTGAAATAGCGTACTACGCTTTCCATTTCTGCTAAACAAAGAAAAATATGGCAGAAATAGTAAGAGTAGTTTTATGATAGTGCGCTGTTCCGAATTTAGCATCTTGTGTGTTATGTGTGAGTCATCGAGTCTTCACTCAACCGATTCGTTTGAACGAGTCGATCGCGTAAGAATCGATTCGTATTATTCTTAATTCAATTTCGAGAAGTAGCCTATAATCATTTTGTTTTTTCCCACAAATATCAACAAGTCAAATAGACTAATTTTCCATACTCCAATCAAAATTGTTTCCATAGAGTGTGAGAGCTTTCAAAACTCTGGATCTGGTTTAGAAGGTGATTACTCACATCCTTTAGGTCATTGTGACAGTGGGTTTATACGGCATTAGAGGGATTACAGAGACAGGATCTGGATCACAGATCATTTAGAAAGAAAAGATACAGTTCAGCCCCAGTAAACAAAGCCAGACTATGTATTTCTACAGGAGATTTTATATGGTGTCTACTTTGACAACATACTTGACTATGAATTGCAATAATTTTTTGTTGTCGTTTTATGTCTTTATGGTGTAACAGAAGGGAAAATCCCTATAAAATAATTCCAGTGCAATTTACAATTTATAAAATGTCAACAACAAAACAGATTCAATTCCCATACACTACACTTGTATCTTAAAGGGACAGCTCACATTCAGTTGCTGTCCCCATTGTATGGAAGCCCGTTTCCGCCACTGAAAAAAAACAAACAAAAAAAGGTAATTGCGACTTTTTATCTCACAATTCTGGCTTTTTTTTCTCATAACTGCGTGATACAAACTCGCAATTCTGACGTTTTTTCGTAGAATTGCGATGTAAACTCACAATTGCGAGTTAAAGTCATAATTGTGAGATATAAACTCGCAATTCTGAGAAATAAAGTCAGAACTGCTAGACATAAACTCACAATTTGTGAGTTATTAAGTCAGAATTGTGAGATATAAACTCACAATTCTGAGAACATAGTCCCCTCCCCCTTCAAAATTGGACTTTAACTCTCAATTGTGTGTTTATATCACGCAATTCTGAGAAAAAAAGTCAGAATTGTGAGTCTATATCTCGCAATTCTGACTTTATATCTCGCAATTGTAAGTTTATATCATGCAATTCTGTGGAAAAAAGTCAGAATTGTGAGATAAAAAGTCGCAATAACCTTTTAAAAAATTTTATTCAGTGGCAGAAATGGGCTTCCATACTATTGACTTCCATAGTATGGTGGAAAAAAAACACTATGCGAGTCAATGAGGACCGACCGAATGTGAACCATCCCTTTAAGGCCATCTACTCGTTAATTATCATACAAGTAGGCGAGGTCAGGGCAAGTGGTAACAATGTTTTTGAAAGTCAATAAGAGCCTATTTCAGGAAGATTAAACAAAGAAACAATGAAACACACACACAAAAAATCACATTCGAAACTGAAATATCCCTTGTGACAACTAACCCCGATCTTCTCTATTTAATACATATTCTCTCTCAAAGCCACAATTGATAGAAAGAGCAAAGACTTGAAAAACAGTGCATAATTTACACATTTGTAAGGTGCAATACAAAAAAGTACATAATGATGCAGCATGGTTTTAGTCCTCTGTTGGCCAAAAATAGAGAATGATGGGAGATTCACATGACATCTCTTCAAATATTGTCATGTTCTCAGCTCCAGGACAAACTCACAGCTGTTTATTTAGAGAATAACACACCACTTCTTAACAGCCAGCAAATATACTCCACCAGTTGGATGTGCCGTATGCTGATTCAGTGTTTGCTGTCCACATGCCCCAATGTGAAACAGAGGTTGTTTATGAGGGCTGGATGCAGCTGGCATAACAAACAACAGTACCATTGAGTTCACAACTCCAGCTCGGGATCCGTTAACAGTTTTACCTGGAGTGCGAGTGGTTTACGTTAGTATTGACATTGAATGGCAGCTGCTCATCCGGTGAGGGACGCCCTGTATTCCACCTGCATGCTGACATTTTAGCTCATAGGACAAACCTTCAATAGCTTCTGTTCTCAAATGATGTTGAAAAGAGCAGACAGGCAAAAATATAAATCAATTTCCCACTTTTAAGAGCCATATGAAAAAATAAAGCATTAGCAAAATGTGTACTTTAATAAAATTAACAATTTGTGATTTAGATGTTGCATGCATTGCATACTGTATATTGCTCTTAGTCTCTCTTTCAAAATAATTAATAAAAAGTTTGTGTAATAGGCTACTCTACAAAATTAAACTAGACTTCCAAGCACGGCACAAGATATCTTAAAATAAGACGATCTAAAAACAAACTACAATAGTTAAAAAAATGTTTTAATCTGCCATTTTTATTTAAGATCCAAGCCTTGGGTATGAAAGAATTCATGGAAAACCTGGATATGATGGAAAAAAAAAGGATTTCTAGACCTGGAAATGTAATGGAAATTTTAATGTAAAATCTTTTTAAAAAAGAAACATTAATATTTTTAAAATTAATATATATATTTTTGTAGTTATATCAAGCTCTAAAATATTTTATTGGGTAGACGTTGCTGATAAATTACTATTTTTGAGTAAAAAAATGTATTAAACAATCACAAGTGAAAAAGTCATGTAAATTAATTGGTAATAAAAAAGTGAGAATAAAAGAATACCGAGTTATTGAAACTTCTGGAATTGTGGAATATAGCCAAATTCTTTATAATTATTTTATGTAATTATTTTGATATACTACCACTCTCTTTGGCTGAAAAAAATAAAAAGAGGAGAATATTAATTATAAAATTTTAAAATATTGTCTTTGACAATGGGAGGCTTTGGGATGAAAAATGTTGAGAACCACTGCCGTGAAGAGCTTCATATCCCCACAAAACTTTTTGAGCATATTTGTTTTTTAATAATAAAAAAAAAACACTTATATACGCAATCCAGAGCTACTGTCCGAGCTGTACGACTGCACCCTGGAGTAGTTGTACCCTACGAAGAGCAGATTCTGCGGCACAGGATGAAACGAGGATCCGGTGGCGTATGAAGTGTACGGATCGCTGCCGTTGCTTCCTTTAAAGTGTGTTGAAAGCTGACGCGGGTAATGCGTGTTCCTGGGTACGTACTGCATCACATTTTGGCCATAATAGTTCAGATTCTGACCGTTCTGACTGTACACTAAAGACCCTGTGGCCATGGCCTGCATACTGTAGGGTGAATGTTGACCACTCGAGGGCGTAATGGGGTAGCTGAACACGGACGGCGAAGGCTGTTGAATGGAAAGACTGTTGCTCTGGACCAAAGGCTGGTGTCTTATCGAGTTAAAGGTCTGGAGGCGGTTTAAAATGGGTTTGTTAGCTGGTGGACGGCCATGAAATGAGCCTGGTTTTGGATCAACACGACGACAGAGAAATATAATTCCAGATGCCAACAGAAAAGCACTGGTTACCCAACCGATATACAGCGCCTCTCCTAGTTCCCTGCGCTGGGCGTCAATCAGTAGAGGGTTGTAGAAGTCTCTAATGATGGTGTGGGCCGTCCAAGAGACCGGGATGATTACACAAACAGATGCTAAAATCTGCATCACCCCTGTGGCCATCGCAGTGAGGTTTTTGGCCCGTGGTTGATCCGTGAGACACAAGGTGCAACGGAGGCCCACAAGAGAGTAACAAGCAGCCCGACTCCAGACAGCGCCAGGGCGCAACATGTCAACCCGTGGGCCGCCTGCAGGTCCGGTGGGAGGAACAGCAAAGAGTCGTAGACTTTACACTGCATGTGGATGTTGGCCTGTCTGAAGCACGTCATCCACAGACCCTCCCAGCGCGTCTCCATCACGATGATGTTCTCACCGATGAACGCTGTCACTTTCCACATGGGAAGACCCGTGACAGCCACCACGCCGATCAGACCGATGATGCCCAGACACAGGGCGATGAGCTCACACTTGCCCTGAACCATCATTGACCTCACACGCTTTTGACTATGCTATCAACTTTCCTAAAAGTAGAGAAACAAACATAATTAGTTTTGGCACAGGATGCTTTTCGCATTTAATCCGTCAAGTTTTTAATAGCACCAGACAAATGCTTTTAAATGCAAACAGCGTTAAGGGAGTTTTACAATATTTTTAAAATTAATATATATATTTTTGTAGTTATATCAAGCTCTAAAATATTTTATTGGGTAGACGTTGCTGATAAATTACTATTTTTGAGTAAAAAAATGTATTAAACAATCACAAGTGAAAAAGTCATGTAAATTAATTGGTAATAAAAAAGTGAGAATAAAAGAATACCGAGTTATTGAAACTTCTGGAATTGTGGAATATAGCCAAATTCTTTATAATTATTTTATGTAATTATTTTGATATACTACCACTCTCTTTGGCTGAAAAAAATAAAAAGAGGAGAATATTAATTATAAAATTTTAAAATATTGTCTTTGACAATGGGAGGCTTTGGGATGAAAAATGTTGAGAACCACTGCCGTGAAGAGCTTCATATCCCCACAAAACTTTTTGAGCATATTTGTTTTTTAATAATAAAAAAAAAACACTTATATACGCAATCCAGAGCTACTGTCCGAGCTGTACGACTGCACCCTGGAGTAGTTGTACCCTACGAAGAGCAGATTCTGCGGCACAGGATGAAACGAGGATCCGGTGGCGTATGAAGTGTACGGATCGCTGCCGTTGCTTCCTTTAAAGTGTGTTGAAAGCTGACGCGGGTAATGCGTGTTCCTG